AGCCACACATCTGGATTGCAGTGCCTGTAACTGTTTTCATCATCACAAGTAGTTACTGACTTCATAATGTTCTGTGTGTGCAGGAAACAGCTTGTAAGAGGTAACCTGAGCAAACTCTATTTTATAATTGAAGAGCTAAAATGTTTTCAATCACCGATCTGCAAGGTAGCCACAGCCATTAACTTTCTATATATGGCCCTGAAGTCTTAGAATTCTGCATTTCTAGCCCTGCAGAATTCTTCTGATTCTGACTGCTCCCTAACAGATTTCCATGCTGACTCTTTGTCCAGATAGATAACTGCCCAAAGCAATGATGCATCAACTGCTTTCATGGGAAATGAGGTAACGGTGAGTGGAGCTCACCTATAGCTATAAAGCAATAAAGCTTTGAAAAGAATTCCTGTACGTCGTAGATATAGTGATGTAAGCTGTCAGGATTATCACTACTCATTGCCAAGTGACAAAGTAATGTTGCACCTGAATGACTTTTAAGTTACAGGTTCTTTTCTCACTCCACAGTTGGTGTATCCTGGTGTCTTTGGCTTTTGCACTGTGGAGGCTGAATGTGTACAAGTTACTTAATACCCAAAATATTCTGTGCCCCCTGATTCCAGCCTCAGTTCCCCAAACCATGACAATGCAGGCGATGGGAGAAAAGCCACTGGAACAAATACTGAATTCCAGTACGGACAAGGAACCACAGGAAGGGACTGGGAACTTTCAGTCTGTGCCCAGTTCATACACAGCAGGGGCTTGGGGGTGCACGGCTGTTGACAGAATAAGAAGGGGATATGGACGTTCCCTCAGAGGGTCTGAGGACACCGAGAGAAAAGCACATCTCTCTGGAGGAACTGACAGACTTTGTTGCTTCTCTGCCTTCCCTTCCACTTCTTGGAAAGGCCATCCAAAAATGCCTTTCCAAAGTCCCAAGCGTGGTGCTAAGGGCCTCACTGTGGACAAGTAAAACAGAGTGGTTTTGGTGCGAATTTGTTATCTTCTGCTGCTAAATGGTTCCCACTCCTAGCTGAACCTGTGGCTTGCCAACTGACTTCTGTGTAACTTGTGGCTGATGACCTCACGTCCCCGGCTTCCTGAGCAATTCTTTGCCCTCACAGGGGCAGAGCCAGAGATCAGTCACTTACTGACCGTGTCCCTTCATGCAGACAAGCCAGACTACGTGCGATTGTACGTAGAAGGTGCTCGGTGTCTTCTCTAAGGATTAGTTTTGCAGGGGTCTATGCATTTACTCTGATCTTCAGCAGTGGCAGAAATTAGTCTCTTGGCCAGATTTGAAGAATGATGTTCCTCATTTATAACATGTTACGACCTTTCTGTATGACATAAAGGCAAGTCTAGAGATCTCTCTAAGAGTATTTTTAATCTTTAATGAGCAGTGTGTTCCAGTATATAGATACCTGTAATTCACATCCTTTTTTTGAGTTTAAAGTAAGATCAGGATTAACATGTTATATAAAGCAAGGTGATGAATAGGAAAGTTTATTGACTTTTCCACCCTGGAGTCACTCAAATACTGGTTTATATTGAAAATAAAATATTTGGTGGGTTTCATAACAGTCTTTACCAGTGCGTATCACAATGCTGCTGTTGGGAAAAACTGAATTTATTAAGGCAATATATTTTAAAAATTGGCTCCAGCACCACACAGCTGGCAACAAGGAAAAAATAATCTAAGGCAGCATGTAAAAAACTTGTTCTCTAGTGAGACACTGAATTTTCCAATAGCTGCCTCCAATAGACCACCCTATGGCACTGATTGCAAACATATAAAGCCTGATTGTTTCAAAAGTCATATAAATGAAATGTAGATGTTGAAATGCCAGCCTCCCACTATTTGCCTCCAACCTTTCCTTTTCATCTCTTCCTGCTTATTTTTGCTTTTTTGTTTCCTGGTGTCTTTCCCCTCCCTGATATTTTCTTTCAGTACCACCCCCTCTTTTCCTCTCACAAGTGGAGCTTTTAGCTTTAATGGCAGAAAAGGAGCCAGCAAACGATGAAAAGAACCTGGGGCAGCAAATCTTGTGAGCACACCAACACCCAAGAAAAGAACGGCGCGGGTTATTTGTGCACACAGCTTGCCGTGCCACGCGCCTGGTGCCAGTGTGAGCAAACCAGCGTAGCGTCGGAACAGTATTTCTCTAAACAATGAGCCTGGCTCAGTATGCTTTGCTGCGTTTTTTGTAGCCATTCGTTTTACAGCTTGGAACTATTCTAAGATCTTCTTTTAACCTTTCACCTCACATGCCTTTGTTTTAAATCAACTTAATAATCAAAGAGAAAAATACCCGGGGAAGTACAAAACACAACTGGGGTGAAGAGGCTTTCAGACCAACATTTGTTGGTTTTGAGTACGATGACTTAGAAGTGCTTCAAGCAGTATAATAACTGCCAAATCTCCTACCTGAAAGCAACACCAAAAGTAACTCAGTTGGAGCGGCTGCAGTCAATCGTCGTTAGGCCGCTACAGCGGATCCCACCGAAAGGGGATGACAAAAGCAAGGGAGTGCCCATTTTTTTTGTCTTGAGACCTGTGGGCATTTTGAGGAGGCCAGGACAAGACCTGAGCAACTGCTACTACCGGCCCCTGGCAGTGCACCACACCCGCATCGCTCTCGGCTCTGGCTCTCGCTGGACCTTCCCAGACAAAAAAAAACAGAGAAGAGCGCCCAGAGAAGAGCACACCGTGTGAAGGCCAGGAGAGACGTGTCACCTGAGTAAGTTTTTGAGAAGGCTCTCATCATCTTGGAAAACAGATTATTTACACGAGGACAGCACGAGGACTCAGAAAAGAATGACCTATGGAAATAGGAAAAATGGGAAACTAATTAACCTAGATCCCTGAAAAACCCAAGCAGCTTCTGGTGTCCTGAACTAAAATATATCCAGTACTTCCTTAGACATATTTTCTGTAAAGGGTGTTTACTAAAAACCAACATTGGTGTGAGGACAATATAGTTTTAACAAATGTAAACCAGCTGCAGATCAGATACAGCTGCACGGCAAGCATATGCCGTGAAACCAAACTTCTAAAATTTAGTGCTGTGGCTCAGACAGTTGTGACAAGCCATTGATCTCACACTTCAGCAGGTGAGCCGCAGTACAAGGTGAAATGGGATGATTCTCAAGGATTTCTGCAGCTCCTCCTCCTAGGCCCTCTCTCCTTTAAATTATCTTCACAAAAAAAAATAAATTAAAAAGTGTGTGTCGGTATGGATACATACTTCTGGTTTTCATTTGTCACTTCTTCAGCTATTTGGGTTGGTGACAATTCTTTACAAACATCTCTTGTTGGAGCTCATTAGTGTGAAACGTACTACAAATTTATCACCGTTTTCCTTACTAAAATTAAGCAAGTTGATAAGAGTTCCACAAAACTGTAATTAACTTGCCCTTTAAGAACAAAAAGGATGTATTTAAAAAATGTTTTTATTGTCTTAGTACTGCATGTTAGAAAACAATGTCTTCCACAGCAAAACGCACGAAGAACAGAGATGACTGCAAACCAAACAAAGCAGATAGTAAATTATCTATGGAACCACTTACTTCAGTGCAACAGCGAAGAGGAATACAAGTTTCAAAACAGCTTTTCTTCCTCTGGAGAATGCAGCATGTTTTTTTCTCTGCTGGAGCTCCTGACACAGCGTTGCACTACACCGCAGTTTCAATTATGTTCCTGACAGAGAGATCTGAACATTGTCCCCAGTAACACGTTTATTTTGTTGGGACAAACCAAAAACCTGGTCCTGAGAAAGACTGCAACCTCCTCTGTCTTGCCAAGGCAGCAGCTCTGCGATGTGCTCTCTCCAGATGCTGGACAGAAAGATTAGGAGAACTTGGAACATAAAAATGTGGATTCTGCACCACAGCTGCCTCTCCGATCTCAGCTCCAGTCAGTTTGTACCGGTTTAAAAAGCGTAACTTCTCCAGGAACACAGGGAACACGACCACCCTGCTTCAGCAGAACTCCACAAATGTTATGCTCTGTCAGGCTTTCTTCCCTTAGCACCCCTACAAAAAGGGATTCTGAAGAGATCATAGAATCATAGAATCATAGAATGTCAGGGGTTGGAAGGGACCTCTAGAGATCATCTAGTCCAGCCCCCCTGCCAGAGCAGGATCACCCAGAGCAGGTCACTCAGGACGTGTCCAGGTGGGTTTTGAAAGTCTCCAGAGCAGGAGACTCCACACCCTCTCTGGGCAGCCTGGGCCAGCGCTCTGGCACCCTCATAGCAAAGAAATTTTTCCTCATGTTTTTGCGGAACTTCCTATGTCCTAACTTAAACCCATTATTTCTTGTTCTATTACTGGGCACCACAGAGAAGAGACTGTCCCCTTCCACTTGACAGCCACCCCTCAGATATTTTTATACATTAAAAAGATTCCCAATTTGGAGATTTATGTGCATGAAAGCATATTTTTGAATCGTAAGAGCCGACTAACTTGTTTAAACACAACCGCAGTTGTGCTGCTAACAGTCCAAGGGTAAGTATGGTCACAGGGACACGCGAGATCTCTAGCTCACTGCACTTCTGCATTTATTGCATCCGAATGAACTATGTCAGTATAAGCAAGTTCATACTGGAGCAACTGCAACCATACACCATGAGGAAGTCGATGCCTTCACAACCAGTTAAATCTCCCAAATACTTTTAAGTGCAGAGCTAGTCCATCGCCCACACCTAGTGGATGACCTAGCTAGTCCATGACCCACACCTTAATCTTTTGGTCCACACAAACATGTTAAGCGATACCTTCCTGTGTCTCAGATGTCAAATGAAACCAAAGAGCAGCTCGTGTTACCCAAAGCCCTGGATGTGCAGCCATCTCTTTGGCACCACAGCTCATCTGATGTCGGCACTAGTTTGTAGGCTGAAGCGTTTCTAGGCTGGCAAATTCTTGTGGTGAGGACCTGTTCACAGGCTGGTGCAGCTTTCAAAGCAAAAAGAATCCTTTTTCTTCCCTGTTCAGTATTTCTTTTAATGTTACGAGATAATTGACATTTCTTCCCTCTCCCTGCTCTCATTTATTATGGTGATAATGTTTCTGAAGTATTTCATAAATTCCATCCGAACATCTTCAGGATCTTCTTCCAAGTTGGAATGTATTAGTTTTAGCTTGTTCAGCGGGTAAGCTTTGAAGGTAAATAAAAATAATTAGGTATATTCCTTTTATAAAAGAAATATTCAGAATCAAGGTCATGAGACAGCTCATGCTGAAGTCAGCTGAAATTCAGCAGTATCGGCCAGATCGGCCTCGTGGAAGCGCCGGGAGGAGCGGCAGGCCGTTTTTCTTCGCTTTAGGAG